AATTTCTGTTGTGAACTTACTTCATTAGTTGTCCAGGGCTGCCTGTGGGTCCAGTCAAGATGGTTCCTGATGTACCACCACTGGATTTCCAGTGCATAGGAAGGGGTTCCCGCTCCTCTGAATGAGCAGGCCATCTCCACATCCTGACCTCTTTGGGCAGTCATATCGTGAGGCACCTCTGTGAACATGGCTGGACAAACACAGACACGGTTAACAAATGGTTCTAGTAGCAAGCTTTCAGTTCAGACAGACCAGCAAGCCTGAAGTGGATGCCCTTTGGAGCTTGCACCAAAACCGTAATGAGCTTTTTACAAGTGGATGACAATTTTCTTGACTTGAGCCTGGTAAAAGGGCACTTAGTCACTATCTATTCATTTTTTTCTGCCCGGTTTTACTCTTGTAAGGGTAGAAAATGTTCTGATCCAACATTCAGACACAGAGTGAGGTTTGATTTATACATCACAAATCCAACAATCTTTCAGAGAAGAGAGAAAGTTAGAGCTTGAGACCCTTTTCTGTCAAATTAAAATTGAGGTAGAGTGAAATTGAAGGAGGAAGTTGTTAGTGATAAGTACTCAGAAATATATTCTGAAACGCTTAAATCAATTTTCAGGAAAACCCTTAAATTGCTTCAGCAAAACAGTTGATAAATCTGAGACTGGGATGAGTGTAATGAGTCTGCATATTAACTGAACCAATAATACAGCAGCCCTAGCATAAATCATGGCGGAAACGAGGTGAGTGCTTTCTTTGTTCCATTTTCAAGCTGCTACAGCTAAATGATAAGTGTGTGTGTGAAGGTGAGACTGATGAACGCGAACAGGCAGAATGAGTGGGTGTGTACTGAAGAAAGACCCCAAGGGTGAGAAGGAAGTGTAAGTTATATTTGAAAACTACACATAAAAAATGTTCAATGTTTTGGCGTTTATGAAACCTATTAAGAAAAAAAGGCTTTTTAAAAACTTAAAACAGTATAGCTGTGATTGCTTAAACCTTTAAAATCACAACAGTATATGAAGCAGTCATGAAACTTTATAGCTTTGTAGCTGAGATTACATGAAAGGGTGAGTCTGACGATGGGTGTGGTCCAACCCATAATAGTGATCCAGTGGGCCACTTTACAGCAGTATCATCATATGATCAAATATGGTGTTTAACTGGAAGAAAGTATCGTGGTACATGTGAAGGATGAGGTAGGTTTAGAGGCAAGTCAGAAATAGATGTTCTTGAAAATTTAAGGTCAAAGACTTGTTTTGCAAGCTGATTTTAAGAAGAATTTGTTTATTTTTTAGGAATTCCCAAGCCAGTGAGAGGAATATCTCAGTAAAGACTGAAGACAGTGTGGTTCCTAAAATTTCGAAAAAATCATCCTCGATAACTTTAGGATTAGGCTTCAAACATCTCGTTAGGGTCCCAGAATCTCCTGCAGAACCAGGCTCAGGGAGAGGCTCAGGACCCCCAACCGGTTACAGCAAATGGCTACGCCTCACTGAACCGAAGGTTTCTTCCTGTTAAAACTGAGTTTTTACTTCCCACCATCGCCAAGCTCATAATCTTATTATTGGGGTTTTCAATCCAACAATAAAGGGTGCAAATAAAACACAAATGACCTGAACTGAATATGTAAGGGTTTCCAACACATTATAAGAATAAACAGGAGAAAATGTATGCCCACCCATCCATTTCCCTACACAGCAAATAACAAAAGTGTTAAATGTTTTGGTGTTAGTAGTCTTCTTGCAAAAGTAGAGTTAATTTTACTCTAAGTAGAGTCACATTCTTTTAATGTAACTCTGAGGTGTAAAATGATAGTAGTTAAAATCGAGTGTTAAAAACGAGTGTTTCTATGTCAAATCTGGAGGTGTTACAATGGAAACATTAACTCTTGACCTCTTAACTCCGAACTCCTAGAGGGGCTATGACACTAATAGAGTAAATTCACAGACTCCGCCCCCAGCACCATATAGGCTCCAATCTCCAGGAGTTATTAAACTAGGCTAGCATGATCCACAGATGGATGACTGAATATAAAAGATTAATTCACAGTTAAACTTCCTTAGACTGATGGAAAAGTGCGTTTCTTTGGTATAAAAATCAAAGTGTGTTGTATGTGTATGCCTGTCAGTCTGTCAATAGATTTTAATCTTTGAATTATTTAAGAAAGGTAATTTAGAAATAACAAAAGTCACTACTGCTAGTTTTCCCATGAATGGGAAAACCGCCAAATGCAAGAGAATTTTCTCCAAAAATTAATTTTCAATAGCCACCCAAATTCACCTTCTGCAGGTGTTAAAGTGCATGTATCTACAATCACGCCATGGCCCTAATTTTTAAATGTGCAAGAGCTGTGCCAGGAAAAAGTCTTTGCTATCCAAGAGTAACCATAGAGAAAAAATTCATTCTGCCAATAAACAGAAGCAAAGACAGCCCATTGTTTTAAATAATGTGCCATGCATCATATGAAAGAGTCGTTGAAGACAATATGAGGCCGTCTGTCCAAAAGTTCAAGCTAAACTGGAATTGAATTGATCACCATGAAAATGATACTAAGCATAGTAAATTTGCCAAGGAATGGCTCAAAAAAAGAGGGATATGGAAATGGCCAATTCAAAGCCCGGCTGAAAGCTCGGGAGTCATTAAAAATATATTTCACAGCGTTTAAACATTAAAACAAGGGAAAACATTCACACATGAACACAAGAAAACAAGAATCTTACATCATTTTTATTCTTCATCCCTTTCCTTTCACATACACCCACCAAAAAAATCAAAACAAAACTCAACAGGCAGCGATCAATCACACCAGAGATGTCTACTACTATGAAAGAAACGCAACACTGAATTCGCTGCTTGCGTCTACATCACTGCCATATTTTCAGCATTGTCTACAAAACTTTTCATTTATCATGCAGGAATTAGGAGTTTTCCTTCAAACTGTAAACTTCAATAAACTTTAAAAAAAATCTCCACCTTTGAAATTGTCCCTACCAAGATTTGTCCAGCTTATTCACTCAATAAGACCGAGTGAAATCAGTGCCAACTAAGTGCCGATTTTCATCTCGGTTCATAGATTAATCTCGCCCGTTCAACCAGTGAGGCTGCGCTATGGATCCGTCTTGTATTACGAGAGCGGTACAAGCCTCGAGTCATATATCCCTCTTGTACATTGATCAAATCTGCTTGTATTTTTCATTTGTGAAACCCGAAACACACCAGGTATCGATTTGACATTACACAGCCGGAGTCAGCAACAATGCCCGTGGCCCTTCTCTTGTAGATAATATTCAAAGCTGGGACATAAAGAACGGTGGAAGATAGAGCCTTTGAATTTGCTTTTAGCAATGATCATCTATCTTTTCCCACTTAGCTGTGAAGCCCACAATGCAAAATCCTTGGGCATTTTTTGGGGGGGAGGGGGCTTTAATGCTTCCCAAATTATAAAACCACATGAAAATGTGATAGTCATCAGCAGTTTATTATAATGTAAGAGAGATAATTCTCACCCAGTAATTTACAAAACCCACACAGCAGATGCTAATTTGATAGCACAATGTGCTGTTTCTCAGTCTGCCTCATCCAGTAAAATGTCTCTTTTCTTAATTGCAATATTTCCCGCACCTGTTTAAGACTTTAAAAGCAGCTTTTAAAATGTAACAAATCTGAGGAAAATCTCACATATTGTCGCGCAGAATTAAATTATCTTCTGCTACTCTGCAAATCTGAACAATTCTCCTGTAAAGATGATTCAAACTTGTGGCTCTCTAATGCTGTGTCTCTTATTAATAGCCATTTATAATCACTGCATTGTTGAAGCCATAAAAGGCAGTGATGAGTTAGGTCTGCTCACCCCTAAGCATTATTATTATCCGCGAGATAAACGACGGAAGGCTCTCGGGCGACTGCTGCAAGTCGGTGCTTAAAAGCTACAGTACGGCTGCCAAGTCACACTCCGTGTCAGCCCTGTTACCACAGGAGGACGGAGAGATGGACAGACAAATTAACGGGGGCTGAGAAGAAAAGGCTGCGTGTGTTTGCGCAGTCATCGAGAAAATAAATCATCAGCAGAGATCAAATTAACGACTGATGTTTGTGAGAGTGTGGCTCTGTGTGTTTGTATATGGGAAGAATTAATATGAGATGCGCTGTGTGTGAGACAGAGGGAGAGGGACAGGAGAGGAGGAGGAAGGTGGAGGACAGCGTGTGAGGCAGCAGATAGCTTGGAGTGGAGAAAGCTGCAGAGGCGCCTGCTATTGTTTATTTCTTTGAGAAGTGGAATGTGGTAATTACAGTGGTGATAAGAGGGGAACAGGAAATGTTCCTTTGTAGCCTACTTACTCCGGCCAACCTAACGTCTATCTTACACTCCTTATAAGCTTGTTTACACGGATGAGATCCGCCTAGGTGACACTTTTCAGAATAGCGAAATTTTCGAGAGAAAGGAAGGAAATTGTTTTCTGTTTTGTTGAAAGAACCATAAATATAAAATTTCTTAAGTCAAAAAACTACCTTTCACACTTGCTGCTACCCTTCTGTTATAGATCACACTCATCTCCACCCTGCCTGCACATACTTCTTCACCTCTCTTGTGCTCTGTTGCTTTCCACAAGAAGGATGTAAATTCAAGGAGAAGAGATACAGCAGGTTCTAAGATGAGTTATTGCAAAACAAATTCCATTTTCTGATTATTTACTTCCTCTCTGGACAGAATTCTTTTAGTAAATTTGGTTTATGGCTTGTCTTATGTATAGCATTCAGAAGAGATATAATCATACCAATGATACCAATGCGCAATGTCAATAAAGTCATTATAAGAGTTCACAGTATCTTCTTATGTTTTTACTGTGGAAATGAAGAAGGAAGAAAATCAGTCAAGAGCAAAGACACTGGGACTGCGTTGGAAGATGATGGTTTTTGCTTTGGAAATGCTGATTTTCTCAGTGATTGGTGCCAGCTAGCTGTTTTCAGCTCCAATATGTTCACCAATACTACCTGCCCAGCACCAAACAGGAGGCAGATAATGTTAGATAAAATGTCCAATGTGGCAGTTCTCTGGAAGAAAATGGCCTTGTTGGTGCCAGATGTCACGGGAGAATGGCCAGACTGCTCAGAACGCACAGCACGTTGGAGCAGATGGGCTACAGCAGCAAAGACCAAACCAAGTGCCACTCCTGTCAGCTAAGAACAGAAAAC